CCTGTCTCTTTCTCTCTCTCTCTCTCTTTCTCTCTCTTTCTCTCTCTCTCTCTCTCTCTCTCTCTCTCTCTCTCGCGCGCGCGCTCGCTTTTACGAGGACACGCTCCGCTCTCCTAGCCAGGTAGTGGCCAGTGATTCTCATCCCAGGTGAATGGTCCCACAGCTGAGTATATAGATACGATATTATGGGGAACTTGATTCGATTACGGACCTCTCAGACTCACCTGGGAGTTCGAACGAGATTTCTTTATCTCTAACCTTTGACGATTTTAATCGGGGATTTGCTCATCGATGAAATGGAGAGAACAAACGATGTTTGGCTTGAAATGGAGTCAGTAAAGAAATATCGTAAGTACGTCAGTAAATATCTCTTTTCGATTTTTAATTAAACTTTTTATCATTCTCTTGATTTCTGCCTTATTTTTACATTGCAAAAGCTATGTTTCTTATCTTAAAGAGTATTGTAAAATTATGTAATGCTTTTATTTTGCGTTAATCACTTTTTCAAAAAAAAAAAAAAAGATTTTACAAAGAAAATAGATCAACTTTTTCACAAAACGTATCACGATTTCTCATTATTTTTATTTATTTCGTAGATACAATCAGATCAAAAGATAGAAAATTGCACCATCAGGCAGAATTGTAAATAGATACGCAGAATGGAATACGAAATAATTCATTTTCCGCTAATGCATCCCAGATGCAAATGCATGTTCTGTCGTCTCGAAGTTTGAAACAGACAATTCTCTAGAAGTTACCAACGCTCTCCCGTTTACCAGTTTACATATAATTTGATGTTATGATTTAATTTCTAACTCTTGCTTCTCTTGTTAGCCGAGCCCTCATACTTCTTGAACTAGAATTACTGGGATCTTTCATAAAATAAACTTCGAAACTTAAAGCGCGAAAACTTACGCGAAAATGCATCGTAAAAACGAGTATCGCATTTGATAAAATATTCCGTTTCCAAATTGTTGATGAGATCGGCAAAGCGTAACTCGAAAAGTGGAACTTCAGCGGAATTCGCATTATCGAAAGAACTACGACTGCACACAGTTGTTTCGGGCGCAGCTAAAATTAGCGCGAAACGGCATAAAAAGCCCCGTTAACTCGAAAGCCGGACACTACAGTTCAGCTGGCCGAGCTGCATGTTATTGATCCTGTAAGTTGTGCCCTTTGTATCGCAGAAACGTCGTTGCTAAAGTGGACAAAGGTGACCGGTGGTGCACGCGGTTCCTTGATCAATGCAGAATGAATTAATTTTAGACCCCGGAGAAGTCTAGAGAGGAGAAGTTGAGCCGCATCTGTGTGCACGCGATGTATCTGTCAAGGAAAGTCGATATAACTTCGGCGACTTCCAGGCTCTGACTTCGTGTTATAACGTACGAAAGTGCAACATCGCTCGACGTGTCTACCGTGATGTTTATATTATTACATTATTCACATTATTATGCATTATAAAGTTTATAATTAATCCAGAAATATAAGTCAACTTGGGGCGTTTTTATATCGTATCGCGGTGAGAAAATATTGTAAAATATTGTTTTGTATGAATATTGTTTAATATATTTTCTTTTCTTTTATAATTATTCTATACGAACTTTTAAGTGCGAATTCCATCGTAAATCCGTAATAAAAAAGGTGTGTTAATCGAAATCTTTGTTTTCTTTTAAATATTGTTATAATAAACTATTTAACGTACTTATATTTCATTTAATATTTGTTTGGTTTTTTTTTTTTTTCAGAAAATTGTGAAATCTATATCCATAATGTTCTCAAATACTAATAAATTGAAAATCAGTAATATACAATATGTTGAATAAAAAAATCGAATAACGGTATAATGCTTAGAATTAGAAAAGTGAAAAATGAGGAATAAGTAAAATTGAGATTAAAGTTAATCTGCAATGAAAACGAATATAATGCCTGTTTCTGCCAATGTAGATTAACTTTAATTTTGGTTCAATTTGATCTTCATCTTTTTCGAATTATTAGAGAGAAAAAGATCGAGAATTAGTTGAATCAGGATTAAAATTAAAGCCACATTAGAAGCGCAACATAAGTGCTGAAAGATTTGATCAAGCGGCCAAAATTATATCGACAAATCCCTCGGCGAATCTTCGTTCCATTTACGTGACATTTCCTCCGTTGTGGTGATATAAATTCTAAATACGACCTTGATGACGTGCTTGTATTTGGCGTATCGAATTTTCACGAGGGCAGTCATCGAAGGTGGACGCTTATGGATCCACGCTCATAATTCAAGAGATTGTCGGCGGCAGGATGGCGCGGCGGCAGAAAGGCAGCATTTTTTATTTAGATATTCAGCGCGGAATAACGAGATCGTCTTTCAGCAAAAGGTAAAAAGAAAACTTCTGAGCATGCGACGACGAGGGACAAAACGAATGGACACGATAACGAACATGGTGGAAGAAAAGGGTGGAACGGTATAACAACGGGGTGATTTTTCCGTCGCAACGTGTGCGCAGCCCCAGATTTCGACGGGAATAAATACGAGAAAAAGTTCTAAGCGCTGGTGAGAAAGAATACTCGAAATAACTGTGCACTCGTGAATTTATTGCGAAATGTCCAGAGACTGTAAATGTCGGACGAACAAAAAAAATTCCTGTTTGGAATATTAAAATAGATTTCAGTGAGCTGACACTACGATTGATACAAAATGTCTCATAAAACGCTTTATTAATAATTTTTTATATCTTCTTATTTCTCGTTTATCTAATTTTACAATATATTTTATTTAATCAATTTATGTATCTTCTTATTTCTCGTTTATCTAATTTTACAATATATTTTATTTAATCAATTTAAACAAATGTATTTATTTTGAAAAGTACTGATTTCGGAAATAAATTTGAATAAACACGTTTTATTAAAAAATAAAACGCTAATTACAGAGATGAAAAATAAAATTTTATCCAACTTAATTTGTCTGTCTAGGAAAAATTTAAATAGCTATAAAAGACTGTGAAACAATACACTTATTACGCAACGTGACGCCAGGAAAAACGACTCTTTTTCCTTCCTCTTCTCAATTTACTGACATATTTTATATCCACTAAAACTTCTTCCTATGCAGAGTTACGTAGATGTACAAGGCGAAATGTAAATGTATCGCATAAAATTTATAACGCGAGATGATGTAGCGATTAGCGTTTCATCATTGATTCATGCACATTAAGCAGCGATGACAATGCTCGCGAGATCCATAAAACCAGATAATCAAAGTTTATTCAGCCAAATGATCAAATGATATTAACGATTCCACAATAACGATTCAACAATCCGCTCTATTTACTGATTAATTCACGATGTTATCATTTTCGTTGGACATGAAGGTCACAAAAATATAGGATGAATTCGAATAATTTTATCCAGTAAGCATTCATTTATGATAATGTTATGGATGAAGCCTATTGGAAACATCAGATTAAGCACAAGTTAACCAGATAATAAAAAACCAGGCCATGAAAGTCTATTCTTTATTGGCTGAATTAGAATCTACGTTTGTTGTACTTAAAATCAAATAGACATATACTTGAGGTTTCGTAAGCGAAATAAAAAGTTTTAATGTAGTCTCCAGTCCAATAACAAAGAACTCGCTTTAGACTTCAGAGAAAAGAGTGAAAGGTGTCAGTTGTAGCTTTGTATTTCGACATTGTCTTATATTGCGAACGACATGCACTCCGTCAGAAGCAGATGGTACGAATTCAGTGACATCGAGAAAACAGCCCAGCCGTCCATCACCCTTCGCTGCGAACCGTACAGCTGCATCTCCGGAGGGCACAGAATAACTGTAGTGTGTGCCATGCCGAAAGTAGATAGAATTTACGCAGTAAGATTTCTGGTAGCCCCCTGGCTCGCCGGACGGGAAGACATTTAGATATGTCGGGTCCACTAAAAGGGTCCAAGTGTTTATCTTATATCTCTTATCCCTCGCTCTGCGGCCTCGTATAATATTCCACATCGGTTTTCGTGCAAAGCAAATAAATTATGTAAAGTGTGTATACCGTACACTGTATACTATAATATTTACATCTTGTTCTTCGTTTCTTCACTGTCTCATTTTCACGTATCGCCACTTGACTTTCGAGCATGTATCGCGTTTACACAAAAGACACGGCTATTCTGAATATTCCCGTTCGCCTCCATCCCTCATATTTTCCTTACACCGTATTTTTATAATCATTTCTCGAGCGCTGTGCGAAGCAGCGTGCGAATTATGCAAATCGCCAGCTGCTCTAAATATTTAAATTATTCCGTTTCTCTCATTTCTCTTTCACGTATCTTCCTATCCATTTCTCGATCTCTCAAAGATCGTAAAGAAGGTAAAAGCCTTCAGTTATTTTGAATATTTATCGCATTTTATATCATTCCTCGTCCTCACGCACCATCCGTTTCCAGGAAATGCTAAAGTATCGGTTATTCGTTATATTATTATATATACATTCCGTTTCTTATTCCTCTCACATCATATATACTTCTTCCGTGTCTCGGAATAGTGGATTACATGGAGTCGTGTGGCACCCTACGTGTTTGCCCCTCGTTTTACCACTCCTCGTCCTTCGTCCCTCTTCTCCATCCGGATCCCCTCGTGCACATGGCACGCGGTATCGCGGCGGATCCGCTCGGGCGCAGACGCGCGTTTCCCAACGCCGTCGTCGCCGTCGCCGTCGCCGTCGCCGTCGAGAAACCGGCTGCACCGGAACGCTCAACGTTCGTCCGCGGCGCACTCGTGCGTCGACCGCGAACGCGGTACGTCCAGGATCCTCTCCTCTCTTTCGCTCCGCGGAAAAACGCACGCGGCTTCCGCGCGTTATCCGAGGGTTTCTCACTCTCGCTTTGGTGTGCCCCGGGTGTGTCCAGGAGGTGTCGACGAGGATCGCGGCTGAAACAATCACGCGCCGAGACTCGGTCGATCTCAACACCAGACGCGGGAAATATATTCAGTGTTGTAGTCGTGTGTTGTAGTCGACGCGGCCGAAAGTCGTTCGATGCTGGAGAAGACATATCGGTATTTCATTTAAGAAAATGTTGATGTCTTTTTAAGCGATTCGCTTGAACTGTTTGATATGTCGATTGTCTTTTCTGTTTCTGTTCCTGTCTTCAGTTTATCGTCATGATGTTATTATGTTTGAGTTCGCATTGATTACTTTGAAATTGCTATTGTTGTGTGTATCGGAAAGGTTGTTTAACATCATAGTTGCCTATGTTACTCTAAATAATTGAAAAGCGAAAGTTTCCATGTAGTTTCATACTGCATAGATTTTATGCGAGTTGCAAGTTGTTGCCACCACCAAACGGCACTAATGTGTTTAGGAAATCGCTCGCGACTTCGTTGCACGTGTTACGTTAGCGGGATGCCCAATAGTTCTATTACTGTTTCATTTAAAAGCGCTATCGATGTTAACATGGGAATGTTACATGGAAATGTTTAATAATGATATAACTGGGACATTATTGATAATTTCACTGTTAATTTATGAGCGCTTTAATAAATTAGAAATTAATAGTTGTGTATCAAAAGATTAATGGGAATTTAATATCTCTCATCTCCTTCATTTTTAATGCTGATACTGTCAAAAATTTTTACCTTATATTGTAGAAATATAAAAACTTTATATTTCTATCTAGAATTTTATGTCCGAACCAAGTTTAGAAATAACGTTCCTATAAGAAATTCTGATGATTCATATAATTTTAAATAGTTTTAATAATTAAAGCTATAGTCGCAGAAAAATTAATTGATTTATGAAGAAATCATTGTCATTATATTTGTATAAAGGTCGCAGATAGAACTAGCACAAATAAAATGATAGACTTCAATATATGTATATTTGTCCTGTAAATTTGCTTCCATTATGTTGCATTTGACATCGAAATGACAAACTATCAAGGAATAAAATCGCTATTATGTTACATATTCGCAAGATGCGAGTCCGTTTATCGTACAAGACTTATATCAACAAGATTTATTTGCAGTCCAACTGGAAGATTAAATCGCACAATACGAAAATTTAATCCCAAAGTAATAGATTTTCTCGGCAATTGGTACTGCAATTAATTATGAAAATTAATTATGAAAAGTAACACACAGGCAGCATTGTGCATATTTTATACAACATTAAATAGCCATACATATTTCATATCTCTTGTATTTAAATCGTTCTCGTTGTCAAAATACATATACATATATTTCTTATTATATAGAATTTATACAAAATTTGACAGAAGTTGAATTTACGAAGTGCGTATTTCATTCGCAATTCCGGAATTAGATAACGGAATGCTAAACTATTATTGCGATACTTTGTCGAAGGGCTTTTGTCCGAAATAATCGAAACATCAAAAAAAGGAAACGCGTTACAGAGCTGTGTAACCGGATGCTTTGAAATATTTTATTTGTTGAGCGGACTTTGAAACGCCTGTTTGAAGTACAACTACAACTCTGTGACTCGATTCTGCTTCGGAGAATGGAGCGCATTGTAATTGAGGCAAGCCACTTCGATGTGGAAGTGCACGCTCTCTTGTTTGCAAGTTATAAACACTCCTTCCTAACTTTAATCTCACAGATTTCGATGTTTACCGTAGCATGAGTTGCATAAAGGACGAAAGTGTGCTTCCCGCATCTTTCGTCTACATCATTCACAAAATATTGCTTCCAACAGCACGAATAAAAGGTATCTAGAAAAGATACCTAAAAATTAAAATATTTTTTGGATGTTTTCAATATATGTCTCATTACAGAAAACAGCATCAAAGAAGAATCTCTTATTTTTAAAACGGATCACGACATGCATGTTCATGAAAAATCAATATGACATATTATGACCAATGTGATATATTAGTTTTATTTGTGTAATATGTAATTTATGCATTTTATCTATAGAAGATCAATATGAAAATATTGATTTGATATTCATTGTTTCCTCTCTCGAGGATCTTTCTGCAGATTCAATTTTGAATTATGAATATTTTCGTAAATTGCGTTGTTAAACTTGAAGTGGTCTTTTTCTCTTTCTACTGCACAATATATAT